CTTGTTTGGGGGCAGTGTGATTCTTCATCTAACTTGCAACTAAATCATAACGTATTGAAAAATAATGATAATCTGGGTATTACTGCTTTGGGGGAGAACTAGCATTTAGAAATGGAGCTTTTATGGAGAGAACTGTCACTGAAATGTCTTTATAAGACTGATGCACAATTTGATAAATCAGGTTTATTACTATCTAAGGTTATACTAGCCATTTAACGTTTGGGCTTTTTGACACTGATTGCTTCTCCCGTAGTTAGGATACTCTTTCTTCATCAGTCAGCTCTTTCTTCATCAGTCAGCTAGGGCTATTGAAGCTGGTATTTTTAGTCCTATAAGCTACAAATGTTCCTCTTGTTTCTAGGAGACTTTACACACCCGCATGTTTTGGAAAATGTTCCAAGTTTCCCCTGAGTAAAAAAAAAAAAAAGGCAATACTTGCTTTTTAGGTGGAGGAATGCCTTTTTTTTGGCTAGGGCTGTAACTTTCCTGCCTGTGAACTCCCAGGTGCATACTTGAGGTCAGCTAAGTTCCTTGTAATGGAATTGGGATTTAGTTCATACAAAACCTATGGAATCCATGCAATTTGAGAGTATAGCGCCCTTTCCCTCCCCATAAATTGTGGGATTTTTCCCTTTGAACAATGCAGAGAACATACCCAATCCTTCTGGGAGTTGACGCTCTAAAATAAAAAATGTCTTCCCAAACTAGAAAAATGCTGTACGTACAAGGCTTTCCACTGCCATATGAATGGCTGCGGATGATGGAGTCACTTCCATATTACATACCAAATTCATAACATGAATGTTTGTTTTCTCAGCAGAGATTTATTTTTATTAGTCCACATCTACTGAACGAGGACAAAATGAGTAATTCATCCGGCTGAGTGGTTTTAAGTATGAAATGACTCTGAATGGAGTTAAAATTTATAGGATTGATGAAATGTACTGTTCCAGTTCCTTAAACAGGTCATGCAGGAATTATAAACAATGCTTTTTAATGACTGTTTATGAAATCCTCTCACAATCTGTTTATATATTTTTTTGAGTAACATTTTAATCATAAGGGTTTGTGATCAGATTAGTGTGTTTTCTTTACAGGCTTTAGGTTTGGATGGCTTTTATATTTGGTGTTACATAATGTACCTCAATATATTGTTTAAGCTCTCACATCTGCTCAGGGGTAATAATGTAATCCCTATAACTTGCCATGACTGTGAAGTCCTCTTCAGTTTTTATGCAGCAGTAGTCCTGAAAACCTATCTATGTAACTGTCAAAGCCACTCTTGTCAGATTCTAGAATACGCCAGTTTGAATTGCATCCAGCCTTTATCTACACTTCTGGTAATTTCTTGCGTTTTCCCCTTGCAGACCGGTTACTTTTTTGGGGAGGTTGAAGGGGCTGTGATGAACAAGTTACTAACAATGGGCTCCTTTAAGAGGTAAGAATTAACTCAACTTTCTATCTCTTGAAAATGTTGTAACAACGAAATTAAATAAACCAAACCCAAAGCCATGTTAAGGAAGGCCAAGACTAGCAGTGCAGCTGGGTTCTCATTTATACCTCTTTTCCATATGATCTGAGTGTAACTCGATGCCGTGCACGCTGCATGTTAAGAGTACTGGAGACACCATACAGTAAGTTTCTTGTTAGAAGAACAGTTTATTTGACTACAATGCTAAAACCGTGTGCCTCTCCTGTTCCTGCTGTGCTCAGGTGGAAAAGGGATGGGGCCATATCTACTACTGAACAGTTTTAAACGGCTCTAAAGCAAATCATTGATGCAACATTAAACATTTTGACCTGTAAAAAGTTGGAGATGGCTCAAACTAGGCAGTGCAAAATGCCCGACTGTTAGAGGGAACGAGTGTTCTGCCAGTAATTCATTTTCATTCACATGCTAACTCACCTTTGAACATTATTGTGACTATTGACCTGGTCTTACTGTCATGATGGTAATAAAAACTAACAGTGATTTTATGTGTTGTCTTTTGAAATAAATTATGTATCCTGGGGAATTAAGAAAAAACTTTTGCCTTTAACCTTTAACTCAACACTGGAATCTTCACGGCTTTCACGTGGTCTAAGAACTTTTCCGTACCCCTTTGTCCTCTTACAGCATGAGAGATGTGCTGACCATATATTTTACACTTTTCTCTTTTATTTTCCTGTGCATTTCTAGTACAAAATAACCCAAACACATCACTGATCCCATCAACCACTGAACTTAGTTATTACATGTGAGGGTGCCTACAGAGGCTCTCAAAACAGATGGTTTGTGTGCTTCCTTGGTAAACCAGCTCTCTTAAAGGCAGAAAGCTTTCTGTGCTGCCTCTGCGCATTATAGCTGAATACCACTCCCAGTAAACGATCGACTCGAAATGGAAAGATCTAGTGCTCCCTGAATCATCCCAAATCCTAGTTTTCGGAGGGTGGCAACCTTTTCGTCTTTAGCACTACACTCTTAACACAGGCTGTAAAAGGAGGTGAAGTAATACATATTTATAGACTGGGTTCTACAATGAAAATATCTGTTTATACAAGAGATGAAGCTTTTTTTTTTTTTTAGTGCAAACAAAAACATACAGTCAAAACTAAGGGATAATGCTTTAATTTGTCCCAATTTGATATGTCCTGCCTAGCAAAGCATTTCGTACAAAATATCTACTGACCAGTTAATGGTAGTAGGCACCACCCTTGAGAAAACAAAGACTGCATGGCTGGAGTATTCCATCTAAACTGCGGTGTGTGCCAGTTTGGCGTGGACCATTGGCTTATGATTTTGCTGGTCTTGAGCTCCAAGGGAGTTACAGATAATGAAGCCACTAGTTGAGTGCAACTGGGCTGCATGCTAAAGAAAATATAAACACAATGGGCCGATTATTGAAACACAATAAACTGGCCATTGCCAACCAGTTAAAAATGGGAGAAAATCAAAGTAGTGTAATTGCACTAAATGAGCCACCTGTTTTTCCTGCCGTACAGCAGATAGCTCCGTACAGCAACAAAAAAACCCACCCAAAACTGTCTTTGAGCCATGCTAGATGAGGCCTTTAAAATAAATCACTCCAGCAATATGAAGAAGAAATCTTTGCTGGCTCTCATGAAAAATAGTCACACACGTTACCATATTTTTAAGATTACTAATTTGTTTGGGTGGGGTTGCGCTTTTCTTTTCCAAAATCTGTTTTACATGGAATAAGAAGTAAAAAAAAAAAAAAGAAAAGCACTGAATAATGCAGTGGATTATCAGTACCATTTCCCTGAGAGGACAACAATATAGATATTGCATGCATTATGCTTGCCATTGCTGCTCTTACCATGGAGACAAAATCAGAGAGCAAGCTCTGACCTTCAGCCTTTCATTCTGGTAATATCCAGAGCCATGGTTTCTTGCAATTTGCTTCTTATACGGCATTTACTGTCCAGCTGGTGAATTATATAGCTTTGCCCTGTTTGATCTGGTCTTGCTCCCTTGTTGATTAGTTTAGAAGTAGAAGGTTCTACAGTGCCCGATCGTCACTGCAGGAACCGTGGGCTTGGGAGTCCCTTCTTCCTCTTGCGCCAATAATCTGAGTGCAGTGCAGATATGTGCTACCACCTTGCTGATTCATGCCAGCTTTCAGGCTCTCCGTCCACAAAAGGAATGAAATAACCCTTTGTGCGTTCGTTCTCTCAGCTACCACTAATTTAGAGGGATATAGAAGCTCTTTTTAGGATTGAGCTCGAAGTGTTAAACAAAAGGGGGTTGTTTGCTGCTGACTATATTTCTTTCCAACCTGCAGGAGGATGAAATTCAATTTTTGTGTTTGCTGTTTATTTTTTAAAGTGAACTTAAATACCTCCTTCCCTCCTAAATTTCTTTAAACTCAGTACTTCTTTTGAATAATGTGTATATATGTATGTCTGTGTCTTTTCTTAGTTTATGGGTTTTATATTTAGGGAGAAAAATTGTATCTGTGCCTCCACAGCAACGTGACATATTGTATGATTTTGTTTAGCAAAATGATGTTTATCTTATACCCTGAATATTACACACAGTTAAATAATTTAAAGATAATTTAAATTTATTATTAAATAAATTAGTTTTCCATAAGCACATCCTATCTGCTTCACATAACGTAGAAAAAAGTTTCTTTATAGTTTCCTCATCAATTTGTTTACATAAAAACAGTGAAAAAATAGATTCAACTTCTCAAAGCATAAAAATCTTAAAAAACCCACATTAACAATCAGAAAAATTAAGGGATGTCAGAGCAATGAGATCCCCAAAGAAATAAAAGTAATAAATCAGTAAGAGAAAATTAAATACCTCTTGACTTCAAAACACTTTCTTCCTTTCCAGTAGGAGGAGAACTAAGCAATTCGATAAGGCAAATATGGAAGCAGCATCATTTCCTCTTAACAGTTCTGTTTCCACCAGGCATCCTCATGGACTCTGAAGAAGAATCTGTGCTTTGGCACTTACTCATGTTATCGGGATGTACGACTGAAATGGTGCACCCCCGAATGCCAGCCTTCCCAGGCCCTGAGGCTCACTCCAATAAGTTCTTGCTGCACTGGGAGCTTCTCTTGTTTCTCAGTTTTTCCTGCCCTGTCCCTTTATCGTTACTCACGTGCTGCTTCGTGGCCAGCGCGTGCTGTCTGTGCCCTTACGGCACGGTACAGTCCAAGTCCTTCACCTGTGTTCTCCAAATGCATGTGCATAGAGGCAGACCTTCATCCCTCTGTCTGGATTTACTTTATAAGCAGAACCTAACAAGCGTTTTGCCTCCAGGTTATAAGATTATAAAAAAATTCAGAACTCTTTGCTATTACTACTTGCAAAGAGCTGAACATTCTTAAAGCCAAATCATGAAAACAGTAGCTAGCTGCTCACCCACAGGACACTGCTGAGGCAGCACAGCCTCCAAATTAAGGATATTTTTCTGCTTAGTTTAGGCCACTCTTTCTTATTTAAGCATTAATTTTAATAAGATGTTCTTGAATTTTTGGTGAAGGTGTTAAATGGACCCCTTATATCTTAAAATTATGTTTATTGTGCATTTTTATAGTCATTGATTTGACCTTCTATTAATTTGGCAGTGTTTCTGAATATAGATGTGTACGTTGGAGAAGATCAGTGACAGACTGAAGGAACAATTCAAATTGGAGATAGTTGTATTAGACAAATGCAACTGTGACGTAAATTTCCCTATCGTTGGTGGTGATTTATTTAGTAAAAGAAAAAGTAAGCTCAAAACATACCCTATGTTTATGGTATAAATACCACAAAAAGTAGTCAGGTTTTTTGCATGGGCAGGCAGAAGACATTCAAGGTAGGGAAATGAGCAGGCTATTTCCAATAACCGTCTCCTATATTAGCTGTCGTGTGCACTGCAGAGCATGTATGAGGCCTGCACCCTTCATCTTCAATTTCAAGTGAATAATAGGTAATTGCACTGCCCTGGGGAACGACATTCCATTTTCAACAGAGAAATAGCTGTCAGAAAGGCAACAATACAGCAGACTATATTGTACGCGTTTACAAGTAGATACAAAAGAACCAAATAATATCTGTCACTCCCCTCTTGTCATTACCGACAAGAAGAGTCCTGTTCTGATGTTTATTTTTTTTTAATCCGCACTGCTATGTGGTATGTTTTCTGCTCATATTTTGTCCATGTGACACCTAAAATTAATGTCATAAAACTGAGTTTGGGCATAGTTAGGGGTTATATCTCTGTAAATATTACCACCAATTTAATGTAGTATATTAGTATATGGGAATCGTTTTACCCACTTAAGGAGAAACGCAGGCATGTGTGCGAGGTAAATGAGTTGTCATTCTGTATGCTGCAAATACAGGTTGAGTTGTAGTTTTTTATACATGTTATGCTTTGGAGCACCTTGGCAATTGGGAATAGCTGAACAGTAGAGGCAAAGTTACGTGATGACAAGTTTGTTTTGTCAAAATGCTGTAATTTATTTTCATGCTTTTTGTTGATTTTCTTGGTGGTGAAAGGTATTAGTCTGACAGCTTCTGGACACTAATAATCTGTCTGTCAATGAAGGTGGGAGAGCCAGAGCAGCGACAGGACAGGGTTTCTTACAGTGTCCTGCTACGTCCCCGCTAGGACCCTCTCTAGACTTTAGAAACTAGTTGACTCTTCACACCACTCACCACTGTCCCTCCTTCCCCTCTTTGTGAGAATGCCAGAGAGGCTGCTTATCTTGTGTCTGCGTTAGTGAACCTCTTTCCAGCAGAACTGAGCTGTAATCACCATTAATTTTTAGATAGACGACGGAGTAAAGCATAGTGTGAGCAATTAGGGCTTCCTGTATTATTGGCTTCCTATGCCTGTTTTTTTGGAGCACTTGTTCCTTTTTTTTATGGACTCAACATTTACTTCCATGGCAAGAAGCTTATTATACCTACACATTATATGAAAACCCCCAAAT